GAGTGAGTGATTGAGTGAGTGACAGTCTCGTCCCACTCCAATAACTCTTCGATTGCTTTGCAATCTTCGAGTTAAAAAGAAAATAAAACTATAATAAAATTTGTGCTGGCTGTTTATACTTTGTTCACTTACTCTACTCATTCTTCTTGTAATTTCTTTTTTCGGCGTTTTACCATTGGTGTTAACATAATATTCTCAGGGTGGCATCTTCGATGATGTTCGTCCATAACACACTGAAGTTGACTTGTTGGCTTTCTAAGACATGAATATGTTTTCTTCAGTGTGTTGAACTCTGCATGTATTCCCTCTATTCCTTGCTCGCCTGGTAAAATAGTTAACAATCAAAACTGTAGCATTTATTAATATCATTAATTACAGATACATACATATGTATACAGCAGCATTAAATACCTAGTAATCCAAATCCTATGTTGTATGTCTTAACCCACTTAATGACATGGTCCTCCAGAAAATGCAGTTTTGGTGTAATAGAGGCTTCAGGAAAGAAGGAGCGATACAGTGCCATGAAAACAGTTATATATGTCTCTGCAAAATTTAAGTGATGGTGTTATAATGTAAATGTTTTGAGAAATTATATTGGATTTTGTACAGCAATCACAACAAAACTTCATCAGTTTAAAACATGGTTTCATGAATAATGTTAGATTAGACTGACGATAACAGAATTCAATAAATTTCAATACAGAGAAATATCATGTAATCATTACAATCCTGGCAAAAAATAACTGGAAACAGTTTATGATTCAATACTTACCAAGGTTGGATATATCTTCCTTACTAAGTTTTACGTTTTTGTTCATTAGCTTGTGAATCTTAGAATAACTTTGCAATATTTGTTTAAACTGATCGTGTACAGTTTCAGCTTCCAGTGTAAGCTCGGGGCACAKGTTTCTTGTCACTTCAATGGGAATGTTGGCAAGCAGGGTGACATTTTTTTCCTATAAGTACAATTGAGTCTTAAAAATTGCTTTTAGATGGCCAACAACATTTAAGTACAGTACTACAAATGCCAATTATACTAAGCATACATCTGTATCTTTTATGTAATAGGGAATTTTGAACTGGAGTTACATTATTTATAAGTCCCTTACCAAAAGACATTTATRTGTATGGTTTCCATTGAATGAGCCCCCATGGTACGCTTGTCGATCAACACCTATTTTGTGCAAAGTCTCRTTTAAACTTTGAACACAAGGTCCATCAGATTGTTTAAGATTATTAGAATCTTCAATGTTGTCTGTCTGTAATATGTAAGATGGAAATAATCATACATGAGTTTTGTGTAGAGCAAAAGTGAGCTAAATTTTATCTTTTGCTCACCAGATGTTTTTCTTTTTCCCGTAGTTGGTTGGCCTTTGATTGCAATGCATCAGCTAAGGTGTTATTGTCGGTATGCAGCGAAAAGTATGTGGCCAGTTCTTCACATTGCCTAGCCTCTAGACTGATTGCAGCTGTCTCCACTCTTCTCTTCTGTGCTTCTTTAAGTGTTTCAATAAAGGTAAGAAACCCTCCACTACCAACCTGTATAGAATGTAATATTGATTTTGGATCTTATAATAATAATAATAATAATACAATATGATATAATAATATAACTTATAACAACCTTATATAGCTTTCTCTACAATACAAAAAAAATGGAGATAAATTTAGTCTACATGTAAATTCAAATAATCTTAATGTTGAGATATAGAGAACTAGCAAGAAAACTAACCTTTTTGTCTTTATTTGCCAGAGCATTGGCTATGGTTACATCTAATGTATGTAGGGATTCAACAAAAAGAGTATAAAGTCTTTCAAATATGCCAATACTGACATGCAATCCAGGTAAGCATACCTTTAGAAAAGAGAAATATTAACATTTTTGTAACTGATCATTCATTAAATCTAAAGACTTTTGTCAGTAAATGAGACAAGCATTTCAAACCTGATCTATAGGGACATTTATAAGTGGTGGCCTAATAGCATTGTGATGTTG